TGTAACACTGTAAAGAAGAGTCTTTGAAAAGGTTAGTACTGCTTTAATTTTATAGGCAATTTTTATTAGATTACAACTTTGAAATTATTAATTTCACGGCTTTATTTGGGGGGTTGAAAATATCAATTTATTTTCATTTTAAGAATATTTACTGCATATGGGAAAACAGTTCAAATATCAATTTATTGCTGTTTTGGGGGTAAATTTTACTGCTTCATTTATTGTAATTGGTTAATCTAAATCTATGATTCTAGAAAATATTTTCTGTTTTTTGTTTCGTTTTTCTTTTCTGTAGATGATTGATGATTGTGCCTGTGAAGACTAAAGAAAAAGAGAAAACATTTATTAAGAATGGTTAGTTTTGTTTCGAATTTATTCGAATAATTTATTTAATTCGTACTTACCATAATCAACGGGGAAGAATCCATGGGGAAAAACGTCGTGGATTATTTTTGATGATTTTATTAGTTTAGCTAGTAAGCGAATGTTGTATTTAGTTTGGAGAAGTGGCCAAAGCATTCCGAGTGTGGTCGGGTTATTTATTGGTTTTTTGACAAGTAGGTTGGGTTTAAGCAACTTTTGGTGAGGGGAAGTTTGGAGGGCTATTAAGGGACGTCCTAGTTTTATTTTTATTCATTGGATGATTAGGGGTATTTGAGAGTTATTTGTACTTTAAGCTAAATGATCATGTCGATTTTGTTCTCTAGGCTAATTTAATATTTTTGCTTGAGGGTATTTTGAGGTATAAGCTGGGACAATATTGATGATTTTTGTTCTAGTTGATAGGGGAGGGTCGTAATATTGAGTTTTTGTTTGTTTCAGTTGTCAAATTTGAGCGGGTTGCTTATTTTTGACCTGGAGGTCTTATTAAAGTTATAGTTAGAGATACGCTTGAAGGTGATTGTTTGTCGGCTTAAGAAGTCGTGTCAAAATTAAGGTGATGATTCGGAAAGGTTCTTTTTGGCTGAAATTGAACTAGTTTGTTCAAGTGCTTTCCAGCATGAATTTTGAGAAAATGTTCGATTCATGAAAATATCTTCAAGAGGTGAAAGTGTTAATTAATTTACAGTGGTTTTTGAAATTCAACTTCCATTATTATTTTAGATTGCGGGATGAATGTTTTGTAATCTTTTCGTGGCTGATTACGAAGTCGCGATGATTGTCTATGTGGAGATTTTTCTTTTCGATCTTAGGGTAGAATTTTTTCTTCTAATTTTCGATTTTTTTTTCTGTTTGAGTGATTTTTTTGTTGTCTAAATTTTTTGATATTTGTTTGGGAAGTTCTTTGCTCTTTTTATCTAATTGTTTTTGGATGGGGTAGATATCAGTGCTTTGATTTTGATGTTGTTCTGAGCTATTTCGAATAACTTCAAGTCCTGTAAAAGAGTATAATTCAGAAAGTTCTCGAAGGGCGTACTCTTTCGGGTAATAAGGTGAAAGATTGTTTCGTGTTGAACGATTTCTTTTTTGTTTAAGTCTGTAAGTTTGTATGTTACATCAGTGGGTTTATCAATTATTTGATACGGTCCTTTTCAGAGTGGTTGTAATTTTTTAGAAATTCCTTTTTGTGTTGTAAAATTTGGAATTAAAACATATGTTCCGATTTTTAAGTTTGTAGCTGTGGTAAATCGGGAATTTATTTGGATATAATATATTTTGTCTTTGTAATAATTTTTTTGTTACTTTCAGGTAAATTTCGTTGTGTTTTTTCTCTCTCTTTAAAATCCATTCGGTCTGTGTATAGAAAGCTATTTTTAAAACTTGTGGATGATGAAAGTGATCTTCATTCTGGGTATGTAGTGGTAGATTATAACATATTGATTCTTTAGTGGGTTTACAATAACCTTGTGTATTTTTGTTTCATTGGCATGTTAAGTAATCCTTGCATAATACTAAACCGGTGTCCATGTATTCGGTGGAGGTTGCAATTCGTGTTTATCGGGTCGCAAAATACTACTACGCTCAAACACTGTTAGTATACAATTTTTTTTTCACTTTGCATTTTCTTTGTTTTTCTTTGAACTGAAATCTTAAAAAATTTCTTCCTAGCGCAATTTAAAATGTATTCATCTAATTTTTTATTGTAGTCGTAGCCAATAGTTATCTCTAGGGCCCAACGTTCTTAAAGTTTTGATTTTTGACCCCAGTTTTGAAAAAACTGGAAAAATATGCCCAAACTCCTTGTTTTTTTGGTGGATTTTGGAAGTTTGAGTTGGGACACGAATTTTTCTCATGTTGATGTTCTGGGGCTGCTTTTTTCAAATAATCTGTGACTTATAGGCTATAACTTGCGTCTCGCAAAATAATATTTTACGATTTTTTGAAAAAAAAATGAAAAAGTCCATTAAAAATTGTGCCATTTTGGCCTTTTTTTCGAGGGTTTTTCGTGCAATTTGGGTCTTAACATTATTTTTTGTGCTCAAAATGGTGTCTAACATTTACGGACAACTATTGTCGGAGTGTCTGTAGTTTAATTTGTGTCACCTTTTATATTCAGTTTTTTGGTACTTGCGTTTCTTCGTTTTGAAAACAGTTTCCTAATAATTTGTTTTTGTTTGTTAATAATTTTCGTTCTTAGTGTTTGTCTTTTTGTTCTTAAGTATCCTTTTGTTTGTCTGTGTGGTGTGATTATGAGGTCGTATTTGTCATCGTTAATTAAACAATTGTGTATTATGATTGTCTGTTTGTTTCCTAAATTGTCTCTTGACATAAGGTTTAGGATGATAGATTCAAAATCTGGATAAGTGATTCTAATGCCTTAAATTGCTAGTTCTTACGATTTTTTGTGGTTAGCTTAACTTGGGTTGTATATTTGGGTTTGAGAGAAAAGCGTATATCGATTCCGAAAAATTATTTGTACTTTCTCGTGACTAATTCTAAGCTAAGATTGACCTACCTAATCTTACTCAGGGGTTGTGATTTGGGTCGGAGAAAAGTTATTCAATCCACCAGGTTCATGTATAATTAGAACGCAAGTAGTTCTTTAGATACTATTTTATGACTTACTAAGTTTAAGTACTATCCTGGGTCAGTTAAGAGGGGGGATCAAGTGAAGGATGAGTAACCGAAGTTCTTCACTGTTTATCCTAATTAGAATGGTTAGTTCTTGAAGAATTTCTGTTAATTCTGGGTCTTTAATAATGGTTGGGCAGTGAATCGACGTTTGAGGTCGTTAGATACTAATTTAGTTTGGGAGGGGTAGAACAAAAATGTTCTATTTGATCCAAGGATAAGATTTGATGATCAGAAATTTAGATTTAGTTTAATTTAATTTAAAGATCCAAGGAAAGCCTTGATGATCAGAATATTTAGATAAAGTGAATCTATTTTAAGTTAAGTGAAATTAATTTAACGATCCAAGGGAAGCCTTAACGATCAGAATATTTAGATAAAGTTTATTTATTTTAATTTAAGTGAAATTAATTTAAAGATCCAGGGGAAGCCTTGATGATCAAAATATTTAAATAAAGTTAATTTATTTTAACTGAAGTGAAATTAATTTAAAGATCCAAGATGGTCTGAAGCCTTGATGATCTGTTATTTTAAGCCTTGATGATCCATTGAAGCCTTGATGATCTGTTATTTTAAATGAAATTAATTTAAGTGAAAACAAGGATAAGCCTTGATAACTTTTAGGTAAAGGTTTAAATGAAGAAAAGGTTAAGTGTTTAGTTTTAATGATGTTAATGTTTTGAGATTTGTTGTTCTGTTTTAGGTGAGGAAGCTGGGATGAAAGGATGATTTATATACACTAACAATTATGCTTTATACTAACTAATTTTTGTATTTTATATTCAAAAAATATTTTTTCCAAGATGTTTTTAATACTCGAGATTTTTAAGGAGAACGACTAGAGTTATTTTTATCAATCGTTATTGTATAATTTTTAGGTTTAGCTCCATGAAAGGTTAATGAAGGTATTTCTTCAAATTTTTATGTCGGTAAATGAAAATTTAAATTTACTGCTGGAAGTATTCTAAATATAAAAGTTTGATCTTGTTTTTGTCGTACAATCATGAAATCGATTGGTAGATTTCTTCCTAGTCGTACGTCGTCTCTTGTCTCAGGTCTTCTTCCAATACCGGGTAGCTCTCGTATTGTCCGGAAAATTGGCTCTGATCTATTGAGTCGTAGAGACGTTTCTACTAAATTTTTGTCATATAAATTTTTTTTTAAATGTTATATTTGTGTAATTCTTATCTATTTTTTCTAAATCTAGGTTAGTTAAGGTCTGTTCGAGACTTTTGTTCGCACCAGATGAGTTATGATCTATTGGTTAAACTCATAGAGTAATTTTAGATAAGGTACACCGTCTGCTCGTCACGCTATCTTATTTTCGGCCGGATAGATTCGTGCTACTTCTTAGTCTAATACCGATCTTAATCTTACTCTTATATCTCCTAGTCTCAATAGATCTAGTGTACACCGGTTTACGCGAGTTAGTTCCAGAATGAGAACAACTGTATTCTAAGTTTAATTCAAATTGCTCTGGTGTTGAAACTACAAGTAGTTTCAACACTTACAAATAAGTGGGTTGTTAGTTTGATGGAGTATGATTGGTTAGTTTTTAATATTTTATAGAGATAAAATATCATAATAATAACCAATGATAAATACTAGTTTAGATCTGGTTCCAATATTTCGGTTGAGCCTTTTTATCTTGGCACGAACTTTGATTCTTAATCAACTAATTTGGTCGTGAACACATAAAAATCGAAGTGCGCCATATTTGTTTTAATTAGCTTGACTTGATGATTTCTTTTCATAGAAGGACAAGTTGAAAGAAAAGTCTATTTGCCAATTTGAAATAAGAATTTAAAAATTACGAAATAAAGAGTTTTGGACATCTTAAACGCTTTTTGGGCGGAATTTGTTGGCCGTTTTTTGGCCCTTACACAATTAACAAAACCGTTTTCTGAAGTGAGAACCGTTTGTCGCTGTTTCAAAACCAACGCTAGCTGAATAAGTTTTTGTTCAAGAGAAATTCTTTCTTGAAATTTTATTACATAAAAAATTAAATATTCACAAGCAAGCACCGAATATTCGAAAGATACTTTCTTTAGCACTTGTCAAATTTCACATTACTTTATTACAAATACGAAATGAAATAGTTATACTTTTTTACAATATGTAACCGCACAGTGCTCAAAGCCCTGGTGGAAATTGAAATAACATATTTACAAAATATCAGAAACTATAATTCTTGTAGCATCAAAAATATTTCGTAATTTTTTTCAGCAACAATTAGTTATTAAGTGTTTCTTGAATAGGTTTAGTGGGAAATTTGCATGTTTTGCATGTAAGGGTACTACATTTATAGCATATATCGGAGCTTCTTTTGTTTTTTGAATACTCTAAGCGACAAGATGGTCAATCCCGATGATCGCGGAGTATTTTTAAATCACAAATTCATATCACCTGTCCGAATTTTGATTAGCTTGTTCGCTGAGCTTGGTATATTCGGTCAAATGGACTTGCATCTGGGCGATCGCTTTTTGCTTTCTTGCTAGATAAACTTCTACTTGCTTGGCGTAATCCTTGAATGCTTTGTTTCCTAACTCCATTTCTCGGAGACAGTTCAACTCTTTTGTGCAACATTTCGAAACCTGTGTTAAGTGTTCTTTATGAGCCGAAATCAAAGTAGTTTGTGCTTTGTGAATTATATTACTTGATGGGGTTCCCAAATTTCCTCCTGAGGAACTGGACGTTGCTGCTTTGGCTCCTGGACTCTGACTTCGACTTCTCTGGTTTTCGACAATCGCTTCCAAATTTTTCTGCACCGTTGACCTGCTATTTCTCATGCTTTGAGATCTGGTGAATCCTTGGGTACCATTCGAAGATTCGTCGCCAGAAACTCTGTCAACGTTGGGAATTTCAGTAGGTTTCGAACTTGGCGATGCCACGGATCCTTTGGTCAATGTCTGCTCCGGTGAGTTATTGGCAGTGGATGCTGCACTGAGTTGCGGCGACCCTGAACCTCCCGAGCCTCCAGGGATCCTCGGCGACTCAGCAACATTGGAACCAGCGTCTTCGCCACTGGATGAGTTCCGAGACCTGGATCGTTTCTGGGAACTGCTGGGTTGTTCCTGAGTGCTGTCAGGAGTCACTGGATGACTTCCAGATCCACTTTGCTGGTTCTGCAGATTCTCGAAGCTTCCAACTGCCCTTCCTATTTTGGGTGGAGGTTGTTTCGAGAAGTCTGCCAGATTCATTTTCTTCGCAGCTGAGAAAGAAGATACCCGATCCCGAGGAGTTGTCCTTACATTGGGCCGGGATGGCTTTGAATTCGGAGGCTGAGGAGTCGACTGTTGCTGTGATTCTAAGCTCGGATCCGACGGAACCGATCGACCGCTGATGTTAACATTAGATGTCACGGGACTTGGAGTTTCGTCTTCTGACACAGAAGGACTGTGCCTTCGTCTGGCATCCGAGAAAAATAACTTTCCTGCGTTTGATGATTTCGCTGTTAAGTTTGACTGCGGAGGTTTTGAAGAGGTTTGTCTAATATCATCTGCCGAGCTTGAAAATCGTTTTGAGGCTACTTTTGGAACATTTGAAATCCTACTGTTGCCAGGCAAACGGACCTCTGGTACTTCAACAAAATTTGCTGGTCGTTGCCGTTCATCAATTACCTCATCGTCAATATTAGGATCGATTTCGGAGTAGCTACTTGACTCTATGCCAAAAAATTTCACAGTTTTCGGCGATCTTGATGACTCAATGATGGATTTCGAGCTGCGCGATGGGTTCGATCTTTTCTCAGCCTGTTCTAGATTTTTCTTGGAGCTTTTAAACAGGGTCGCTGGGTTGATTTTTGACGGAAAGTGCTTTGAAGTTTTCGGCTGAGTTCTGTCTTCTGAGTTTACTTGATTTTCGGCCTCTCTTCGCAAGTCAGGAGATGAAACACTCTTTCTAGTCGCTCCAGTATTCTCTTTTCTGGCGTAGTGATGCAAGTAGTTAGCAGCAAAAGTCTCGTTTTCAGCAGCTGAAAACTCGCCAGTCTTTAAATCGCCGGAGGCCGTATCTCTTCGAAATAAAGAACCACTTTTAGAACTATGAGGCAGTTCCGGTACTGGAGACACTGAATCTGACGATAACGATCCTGGCGACTCGACCCGCAGGTTCGAATTGGTTACGGGAACCACCTGCCGACTTCTCGAGATAGGAACCGAGTCTTCATGCATTGTGAGCTCGTCGAAGCTCTCGACTGATTTTGATCTCTGAAAGTCAGTGTTGTCAGAGATGTCGTCAATTGTGATAGCGTTGAACGTCGTCATTGTCGTTGTCATGGTTGAAATATCACTGTTAGATCTTTTCAAGCCATGACTAGAAGAACCAGCCACGAAGCGCTTCTTTTTTGCAGCTCGGTTTGGCTCATTGGCCGACTTGTTTGGCGACTGAACTGCTGTCGCGACAAGCGATCTGACTTTCCGGGTTATTTTCGGTGCAACTGAGTTTGAAGTTGCACCAGAACTTGTAGATTGCGGCGACGTCGTCAAGTTTCCGGAAACGCACTGAGCTTTTAGCTGCTTGACGCGATCCGCGTAACGAAGTGTATTTAATGTGTTGTCGCAAGCGGTCGTTGTCGGTGAAATGTTAGCAATCATGCAGGTTTTAGAATCGCCAATAAAGCTTTCTTTCAAAACTTGGGTCAGCTTGCTTTGTCTAAAAGGTGTATGTCTTGAGTCTTGGTCAAGAGACCTGATGCACTCTTTGAGCGCCAAGAGAGAAGTGTTTATTTCAGCACCTTCTTGTCTTGTTTGTTTATTTTGTTCACCAGCTTCGGCCGCTCGTTCACTGCCTGCCAGATCAATAAATGACATTCGACCTTGACCAGATGAACTTGAGTCATTATTTCGTTTTGAACTGCTGTCACTTTTATGCGATTTCAGTTGAATCTGAAGCACAGCGTGTGACCTTGAGGAATCCGGATTGACCCCGGATTGACCTACACTTCGATGTTTACTGCCAGTTGCTACAACTGCTAAAAGGTCAATCATATTGTTAACTTTTGTTTCTCTCAAGTTACTAATATTAACACGTTGTTTAGCGTCTTCTCGAGCGTGTAGTTTAGACCTTCCATTTAGCAGATCGTACAATTGGCCGCAGTAAATTTCAAAAAAGGCTACATAAACTGTTTGACCTGGCCTGAGGTTTCGAAATAATTGATCTGCGGCTAAAAGATACAGTCCAGGATTCGGCGAGTTATGTCCATTCCCCATTATGGTATGCGTTTTTCCACTCCCTGTTTGTCCGTAAGCAAAACATGTACTTTTCCCGCCCTCCAAAACATGTTCAATAAGAGGCTTTACGGCGCGCTCAAAAACAGTTCGGTTATCGTCTCGTTCCGAAAAAGCCTCGTCGAAAAGATACTCGTGCTTGTGTGAATACTTCGTCATATCGACCGCGACTTTGTCTTCGTTTACCAGAACCGTCGAATCGCTTACTCGTACAATGTCCGAATCTTCTCGTTTTTCTCGCTTCAGCATCGGTCGTTTCCGAATACACACTCGGATTTTGTCTGACGCCCGACTCGCTGCTTTTGAAATTTTCCGATTTGGACTCTGCGACATGCTCGTCACGTGACTTGAACTAGGGATTCCGTAGTTATACGACTGGCCGTCGCCATGTTTACTATGAAGATCCGTCTTTCGAGCTCTGAAACTCGAATTGGGCGAAATATTCTGGGTGTTTGCTCCATATACGGAAGGTGTGAACGAAATGACATCGATATCATCGTCTTCGTCATCATCGTCATTGGCATAGTTGTCTCTAGAGTAGATGTTAAACTGAGGTCGGATCCCGGAACCTTGCTGGTGTCCAGGAGCGTGTTTCGTTGCCATCATCATCGGGTTCGTTCGTGGTCCGAAGTACGAGCTCTGTTCGGTGGTTGTCGAGGGGTGATAGCTTCGTCTCAAGGGACTTCTCGCGTTGATCTCGGGTGAAATTGGGGCATCTTGTTCATCTTTCCGGTCGCCATCTGATTCCGAGTGACTTGAGCGGTGTCTAAAACATAGCGAGAGCCTTTACACATTTTCCTCAATTAGACTGCATCGATTAAAACAACTTTTTGTTCTACAATAAATTCAAACAGAACAAAAGAAGCCGACTATTGTGACTTCGAAAAACTCTCATATAAATTTGAATAACTTCATGTCTCTTATAGAAAAAGCTAAGCAAAAGTTAAAACTAAAAAATATATATCTGACAAATCAGGGGACTGGGAGCAAATGATGACTAATAATTTTTGTACGTTTTCGAATTTCGAAACACGAAAACCCTTGGAAATCTCAAAAGAAACATATTTGGCTAAGCTCTGGGCGCAGTAAAAAAGTAGTCAGTATTCCCCTTTGGAAAAAAAATATTTAGGGTTGGCCAGCCAGAAATAGCTGTCGTTAAAACCAATTTGGAGCTTTGGAAAAAATTGGCAACCAGAATTGATGGGAAAGCGGTCTACTTCAGCAGGCTATTTATTCTAGATTTGCGGCAAAAAATATATCAAGCGGCATATCACTCGGCATTTTTATAACACTCGGAAAAAAATTTGGCGCGTTTTCTCAAAAAAGTTGTTGGCCTGATACACTACACTGGATCACACACTTGATGTGAAAACTTACCAAAATTGACACTTCATTTCGGCTTTAACTTCAGTAAAAAATAATATCAAGGCTGTAAAAACCGTCAAATTTTGAACAACGTCTCAGCTCTCAAAATTGTTAGTATATTGACCTGTACAGAATTCATCGGACAAAAAGTATTTACAAAATTGGTTGTTACATCAACGTGTAATGACGTCAGGTAAAATTTAGTTAAAACTTTCGAGAGTTTCAATTTGCTGCCTTCTGACGTAGCACGTTTTATTTTTATTGTCTGGTGACTACTCGTTAAAAGTTACCATGTTCGAGAAAGTTTTTCTCGAAGAATCATTTATCAAATTTCTATTTAAAAAAGTTTATCAAAATAAGACTTCATAACATATGCTGCAGTTTTTCAAAAAGCATTCCTGAAACCATTTCCGTTTTTTTTAGCCGACAAACGCATTGAGCCGTAATATTTCAATCGTAATAGGAAAAATTGGAACATGCTTTTTCAAAATTTCGCGCGATGTGAGAATTTTTTTATTAATTCAAAATCCGAATCATCGCTGAAAAATGTCTACTATGAAATCAAACTCGATCACCTATAACCTTCATATGAGTGCCTCAATCACAGTCAATATGATCAAAGAAACTGAGAAAAAAACCACATCACCAATACACCTGATTGTCCGGACATATTTAAGTTTGAAGAAAAACCAAAGGAAAAATTTTTATTTTCGAACTGTGTTGTTGTTTTCTGCGTGGTGCAGAAACAGGAAGACTTTATTAATATTTTCAATTTTTTATTTATTTGATTTTTGCGGCCAAGGAATAGCTGAATGAAACTGCGAAACTAGCTTTTCACAGCAAAAATTTAGCTTTCCACACTTTGAATCAAAGTTTTTCGTTCTATCTGCGCGCTACGCACGCCCCGCCCTGAGTTATATGAACTAGCCACGGGAAAATGAAAAAAAAACAAGAAAAGCCGGGTACTGTGCAAGTTATACAGAAAATGCGAGATTTTTTGAGGAAAAATGACTAGAAAAACAAAAAAATTTGAAACTTTAAAATTTTTTTGCAAAATTTTAAAAGTTTTTGAAGTTTTTGCTTCCCAAAATGGCACTATAGTTCTCCAAAAAATTTTTTACTCAAGTAAAATTGAAGTTAAGCAAAAAATAAACTATTGTAAACGGCCTAAATTAAGCATAAATAAGCGTGCTCGCTCGCTTTACTTGCTTGAATTTAGGCTAAAAATCAATAATTTCAAACAGGAAGGGCTATAAAATGATATATCACTCAACCTAGTCCAATGACTATTTATGGTTCCTGATTTTGCGTAGAAAAAAAAGAGAAAAAATAAAAACAACTAAGACACAATTGGTTGGAACAACAACTAAAGAACAACTGAATAGATAGCTCTTTCCCGCTTCTTGGTCGGAGCAAAAAAATGAAACTGTGTTCATCTCGAATCATTTCTAATTTTTTTAGTTGCGTCATACATATACTTTTTAAATTGTTATATCAATTTTGAGAGTCGTCATAATAGAAGCAAAGCTAAATCAGGCTCAAATTGTGCTTAACGAGTAAATAATTTCTGACAGAACTGAAGCAAAAATTAGCAGATATTGCAACAATATAAAACATATTCATCCGGAATTGGCTAGAAATCAGTTGTTTCAGGAACAAACCCCCGATATTTTTTTCAGCACAATTGTAATTATGCAATTCAAATAGTAAACAAATACAAGACTCAAAACATTTCAAATTTTATGCGCATTTCAAATTAATTTTTATTCAGGTCAGTGTAATGTTTTGAGCCTGTAACAGTAAGTGATATCTGGATTTTGCATTTAGACCTCTAGGGCTCACAAAATCTTAAATCATTTTTGTGTTGTTCACTTTTACTAGTGTTCAAAATTGTACCGTGATTCTTAGGTAGATATCAAACACTTGTTTTAAAGCGTACTATATTGCCATACGATATCGTTTTGTAACTCCAACACATCCTAAATCTTAAAAATTCAAAATCAAAATATGGGATCAATGAAAATGAAAGTCATTTTTTTGATAAATTTGGTCTTTAGCTAAAGTGTTTCGAATAATATCTTATTGCCTTTGTTGAAAAAAAAATCTGAATGCGTCGTGAAGATATTTTTGAATTCAAACAAGTTGCAGTGATCAAAATAACAGTTTTTCGAGTTTCTTTAAGGCCAGTAGAAAGATCTTGATAACACTAAGAAATGACAAAAACTGTTTTTTTTTAAACTTTCAGTAAAAATTGATGATGGTGTTTAAATCTGTCAAATTATAGCAATCAAATTTTTTAAATCACATTCGGTTTCCAATCGCGAAAGGACAATATTTCAATAGTGTGAGTGTAAGAGCACCATAGTTCAAAAAACATCGAAAAATAATCGGCAATAAAACAGAAAAGTCCAGACTTTCTATGTTATTGCTTTTTCAATAAACTTTTGTAGGAATTCGTTGAGTTCCTACAGTTCGCTTTTAAACCAAATTTCTACAAACGCTAATTGAAAAAACAATAGCAAAAAAATTCTGGATTTTTCTGCTTTCTTGCTGATTTTTTTGATGTTTGACCTCTTGTGATGTTGTTTGATGAAAATAGGGTTATTAGAAAGATCATAATAACACTACAAAACGTCAAAACTTGGTTTGGTTTTTGTTTTTTCAGATTAACCTTCAGTAAAAAATGGCAAGCTAAAATCTGTCAAGGTGTATCAATTAATGCTCGTGTTTATTCCATGCTTCAATCATGAAGGATAGGGTTTCGAAAAGGTCAGTGCCAGAGCACATGAGTTCAAACAACAATAAAAAATCCCCAAGAATGCAAAAAAAACTTTGATGCGCAAAGAATTTTGATGCGCTTCTTTTTTCAATAAACTTTTGTGGAACTCTTTTTAAAAAAACTTATACAATTTGATCAGTCATGGGGTTCCTCGCAAAATTGAAAAAAGCCAAAGTTTGATGTCTAAAAGCGCAAAATTTCTAAAACTGCTTTGCAAATGTTTTGCTCAGTCTTTTCCATTTTATTTGCAAATTAAAACGTAAACACACGGAGATTTTTCTCCGTTAGTTACTAAGAATTGAAAACAAGTTGTAAATAATGCATTGATTAACATGAAAGAATAATTCGTTTTATAGTAATCGAATTCTTGTTTAGTGTTTTAATCTGTTTAGTACCGGTCAAATTGTTTTTGAATTCAAGGATTGCGACCATACAAGGGGAAAGAAAACATTTTTTGCTGGTGGTTTCACAGTTTTAACAAAATGAAACAGTTTGTTTTGTCGCCATTAGAGAATTCTGAAAACGAACATAATTTTTCTAAAGTTGATTTACTACACTGTGTTCTTTTGCGATAGATGATTGCTATAAAAACTAGTAAGACTGCTTAACTTCAAACCTATAATGCATAGACTTTTTTAAAACTTTATCAATCCCAGTTTTGGAAGCTTTTTGTACAACTTGTACACTATTATGCTCAAGGAAATATCCTGTGTGTAACTTTTGCGCTTTTTTCAACCACCAACATTATAACTGACTTGAAAACCATGTCTTTGATTCAGCAGGATGTCATCAGCAAGTGTCGTGAATAATCGCAATAAAAAACTAATTGTTTCTACGACTCTCAAAAATTTTCTTTCTTTCACTTTCATTCCGACCAGCAAGTAAAGCTTTTATATGAAAATCTGTTATTTCTATTGTTAAAAAATTAGTTCAACCAAAAACAAATTTATGCATGAAGCATCATTTAGTGTTTCTCTTGCTTTACAAAACTCAAAAGCTCAACAAAAATTAGGTACAAAAAATAAAGCAGTTACAGAACATTTCGTTCAATTTGGAAAACAATTTTAGTCGATATCAAAGTAAATTAATAAAGCTTTCAATTTTTTGTTAATTTTTTTCAGGACCTATTCCTATACAGCGCTCAAAAAGCGACCTCAATCTGAAAAATTAGGGGAAGTAATATTTGTGGTCTAAAATTTTTGCTACTTGTTTTCAACTTTTATTATATTATAAATCAGCATGGATCTACTTAACAATCTTCCTTCCTTTAAGTAAAGGGAGGGGATTGTTAAGTAGGTTAAATGGGCAAGTTTTTGACCAATCGTAAAGAAGCGAAATTAGTATTTTACCAGAAAAATTTAGTGCTAATTTGCTAACTTTATTTAGAGGGAGTGAGATTGTTAAGTAAATCTATCAGCAAAATTGAACGATCAAATCAAGTTCCCATCTACTCAATTAGGCACGTTAGTTCTTCTTTGCTTTCAATCGGCTAAATAAAAAAGTGAGTGACTAAATTTTACTATCAGTACTGCTTTTATAACGACCAGTTTTCTTCTGTTTGCTTCATCCATTGACCTAACAAATTACAAATTTTTGACCAAAACATTTAATTAATTAAACAAAATGAATATTTTTCAAAAAAATCAAAGATTTCTGTTTTTTAACATATTTAGTCCAAATATTGTAATTTCTTAGGTCAATGTAGAAAGTAAGATCAAAACACTGGTCGTTATGATCGCAGCAATAATAATTAACCTAATGAGCTTATTTATTGTATAGCCGACTGCTAACAAAGCCGAACTCGCGTGCCTATTTGAGCAAATGTGAGGGAGGCGAAAATGTTTTTCCACTTAGACAAATTTCCTATTTTTTAGCCCGATCACAACTCAGCATGCGATTAGATTGAATTTGAATATTTAACAAAAAAAATCTTTGATTTTATGTCAATTCGGCTTTTTATGAAAAAAAAAATATGAGCAAAATATTTTGAACTGCTACCAGAGTCTTATTGGCTGTTTTCAGTCAAGTAAATTCAAGCCCAATATTTTAATTTTAAGAATATGAAATATCTTTTTTTTGGGTGGAATGAGGAAAAAGACACTATTTACGAAACAACTCTAACAGCTGACAAAACATCTAATGATTCGTTTCTGATGCAAATATTTGCTGTTTTGAATAGGATTTTCAGTTAGTTGAACAACTCTTTATTAATAATCTTACAGTTTTACCCACCTAATGTTTCAAATGTTTAATTATTAACGGCAGAACATTGCTTGAGCAGAAAAATGATATTTGGTGACAAAAAAAAATACATAAAAAAATAAACCAGCCAACAACAAAGATATTTTTTTGAGGAGATTCGAGATTGATTTATTATTTGAGCCCAAGATGTACTGAGCCAATAAGCACGACTAATTTTACTTTCACCAAAATATCTTAGTTTTTTTGGAAGCTTAAGAGTTTTCGCCTTGCCAAAAAGCTCCCTAAAAGTTTTGCAATATTGTTTTTCTAAAACTTAATGCCGACCTTTGAATTTCAATTCTGGGTGAAGGTGACTTTGTCTGGTCGCGCCCTGTCAATTTTCGGTACATTTCTGCCGGGGAGGCCAAACTGCTTGGTGAGTTTGAGCTTCCAGAACTGACCCGAATCACTGGCTTTTGCTGCAACGCTGGAGAACTCATTTTATCTTCACTTTTTCTCGCGTCTTCTTGCGACGAAACTTCTTCACTGGGGTCCAAATTCCTAATGATGTCGATTAGCTGAAATAATTTTTTCTGATCCCGATTTTCTTTAATTCCTAAATTGTAATAATCTATCGTTTTTAAATTAGTCAATGAACTCGAATGAGTTATACCACTTTTGACAAAATTTGGGTAATATTTCTCAAGTTTGGCAACTTGAAGGTAGGAGTAGAAATAATCCTCCATTTTTATAGTAACTATTTTGAAATGAGGAGAACAAATCGGTCAAATGGAAAAATGGTAATAGAGCAACGATGGTGTAACAAGTGTGTGAATAAAAAGTATGACTCATTGAAATACTATTTGAAAAGGAAAAGGGGAAAATGGTCCCGTGGTTAATATATAAAGGCGGCAATGGTAAGTTTTCCATGTTTTAGGACGAAATTCATTTCCCTTCTATCTTTCCCGCTATGGTGTAGTGTTACCATGAAATGTATAAGGAAGTACTCTTCGTCTACGTAAGTAAGCGTAGATGAGTTTTTTGGAGGTTATTTTTTAGACCAAGCGTATAAAAGGGTTGGTTTAATTTGCGCACTGCCGATTTTTTATGAAAGTTATATCAATTTTCAAAAACAAGGATGAACTCTTGTCGTTTGATAACTTTTTTTTCAAAATTATTGAAAAATCGTTTGTATCTAAAACAAACTTGTGAGGTGTTTAGTATGTCTTTTATTTAAGTTATTAACCAGCTCAAGCTTTCACAACTAATCTATTGGTTTGAGCAGAGCCTTGAAGTTTTAGTCATCCCACGGTCGATAAATTAAGAAGTTTCGTAAGAGCACCTGGCTATTTTTATAATAATAATCACGTTTTAGCTAGCAAAAAGTTATAACTCAGCGTTAGTAAAAATTGTAACAATTATATGCAATCTGAAAAACACGTGCGCATTTCAAGTCGCCGAAAACGTACCAAATCTAGATTTTTGATTATACGGTAACTGAACTTTTACTCTTAGTATAAGCAAACATTTTGCTGTGATTGTTTATTATACGCAAATATGGTTTTAAAAATTTTGCGTTTTGTTGAGAATTTTTTGAGAGTTATCAAATTGGTGCAAAAACACTGTCAAAGCCAGCTGAGAAAAATAATGGTTTCAAATTTTTGGCAAAATTTAGTCAAAAGTAGTCGTTAAATACAGTGAACGGTGCTTCAATAACAGTACCTAGATATAAATTTGATGTCCGTCAAACTTTTGATTAGTTAATAGCTTCTGGCGTATGTCTTTTAACTGTCTTTAGAAGCTGGTACACATACAACTTTAAAGAATTGAAAAGATAATTCTTTTGGTAAAAATTTGAACTAAAAAAACTAACAGAATTCGGTGGCAATAAAACTTTAAGCACTATTTATCGATATATTTGGAGTTGTAAAATCTATAAATCAAAACTTGATTAAATGAAAAATTGCATGAAGAAAGTGCTAAAAGGGCATCAAAGTCTTTTCTAACAAACCATGTTGGTCTTTCATTTCAATCAAATCTAAATATGAATTATGAGCATTAATACAATCTTCAAAATTGAAAACATTTGCTTGTTTTTTTTTCATAAACAAGAATATATTGAAAGCTTATTGAACGTTTATTTTCTGCAACGCTTTTTTTGTTCAATTGGCTACCAAATATATCTCTTTGAATTAAAATGTAGCTTCAATTGTTCGAAATGTATGGCTTATTGTCAATGAAACTGTGGAGTTCAACGCCTGTGCTATATCTATAAGCCGCTTCCAACAATATTTAAATGTTCTGTAGCACAAAAAGGTCACTCAAAAGACTTGTTAATGCAAGAATTTTTGATGCTCTTTCAAACAGATGTTGAGGATAGTATAAAAAATACGCGAGAAATTTTTTATGCACTTAATTGACAAAAAAATAAAAGCTTAAAAAGGTACGAATTTAAATAGCACTCGAATGTAATTCCAATTGATTCCTATCCAGACATACAAATTACCTGAAAATTGTTTTTGAAATATTTTGAACAGCCATCCGGTAGCCCAAATATTTGCTCTTAAATCATAAATATTCTTTATTAGATTATGTACATTTTGTTCAATCGGGTTGAAAAACATACAAGGGGTGGTTTTTTTTTCAATAACCACTTTTGCCAAAACTTGCACAAAATTGTGCGGCGACGTACGCTGCAACTGAAGTTAATTTCGAGTTAAGTTTCAACCGAATCAATCAAATATAGCTGTTTCAACCGGCTTAAGCAAAATTGGTAATGTTTCGACTGATTCGATACAAGAAAAATGTGTTCGACTCTGTCTGACCAAGGTGTGCTTTGCTTCTCGACCGACTCGACGCAAACTGGATGTGCTTTGACCGACATTTTTTCAAGTTTGTATCAAAATTGATCAACCTTGATGTTTTATCACCAAATAATAAAATAAGTTGAATAACTTTCATCTAATATGGTATATTTTAAGTGGGAATCAGCAGATTTTTTTTTTTTAACTTGGATGTGGCAAATTGTCTTTCCTTCGGTGCATCAAAATTTCGGTTAATTTTAATGGCAAATAATCTCTTCTCGGGCATTTTTCGAAACCGCAAGTAGCCCGTTTTTTGAACTCAAGGCCAAGTTTGACTGAATTAATTTTGCCCTGGTGTTTGACCAAGTTTCGACTGTGTTTGATCATTTTTGTCATAGCGCTCTAGTTTCCTTCAGTAATGTTTCGACTATATTGCAACTACACGTTGTTTTCGACTTTTTATTCGACTATGATTCAACCACATTTTGTGTTCGACTTTGATTTGAAAGAGTGTTCGAATATTTTTTGACCATGTTTTCGACTATGTACCGAAATTCTGTTAGACGGTAAGGGCTGTTTCCGAACACGGATTTTGAATCGAACAACATCCGTGTATTTAACCAAATTTGGTCAAATTAAAAATCAAACACTTCAATCCCTCTTCGAAATCCGTTAAAAGGGGGTATGGGAATACAAGAATGTTAACTCGCTTCTAAGTTGGAAATTAATTGATAGAGGTTGAAAAAAAAATTGAAAAAATGTTCGAATTTTTTTTTGAAAATCCTCCTTACGCAGTAAGGAATTCAGTGTCTGGTAACAAATTATTTAGTGAAAATTGTTGGCCTCAGTTCAGTTTGCAAAAACTTCAAGCCGGATTAGATCTCCGTTTACGCATTAATAAAAAGAAATAGTTGTCTTAAATGGGTCAAAATGGCAATTTTTTAAACCTAAATTTTTAAACTAAATGGGTCAACCTGACAATTTTTTAAATTTTTAGAAATAACACTCAAAATTTGAAGATAAAATATTTTTTCAAGTTTGAACTCAAGATAACGATAAGTTTCTTTCGGACGAACTAAACTGTTTTTCGGTATAATTATATAAGAAGCCGTATTTAGTCTGAAGAAAAAACCAGACCGACGAAATAATTCAGTCACCTTCTTCGAAAGTCGGAACAAAAATTTTTTTGAACAAAAAACTGTGCTGTAATGTTTGTTATTTCACTAACTGACACAAAAGTGACCACTTGAATAAAAATGGATAAATTAGCCTATCTTAATTGCTTCATTTTTCAGCAAAACAATACAATAATCATACTCCGTTCAAATTGAAATTTGATTTCTGAATTATGCAAAACTAAAAATTGATGAGAAGCTAATCAATCGCTAATCAAACAAGACTGCTCGTATCAGGGCGAAGCCCTGAATGTTCCGACAGCCTTTTAAGGACTATGGAGCATTAATAACATGAAAAATTTTAATGTAATAGAAAAAATAAAAAAATAAAATCTTTGAAAAAATTTGAGATTTTATGTAAAAACATCCCCCCACAGGTCATATTAACTACAAAGTGATAGACTTTGCGCCTATTAACAAATCAATTATGGCATAAAAGCATCCTTGAACCAATTTGGAACTATTTCTAAGACGGATTAAACCTCGCTTACGCGTTAATAGCGCGAAATTTATCGCGCGTTAATTGTCCCAAATTGGCCAAAATGGCAGTCTTTAAACCCCCATAACTTTATGAAAAATGATCACAGGTAAAATATCTTTTTTAAGTTCAAGCTCAGGACAACAATAGCTTTCGAATGATATAAAAAAATTCCGTCAAAAATGGCTAGTTAAAAAGTCGAATTTTGTCTGAAGAAAAAAAAACCCACCCCGAGCACAAATATTCCGTTACTTTCGTATCGAAAGTCGGAACAATAATTTCTTATTACAAAACGAGTGATCAGTCTCACTCCAACATGTATTGGTTTGAACCGAGCACTGATTCTCGCGCAAATAACTCTGATTTCAGTTATTCCCTTCATTTATTATAATTTTGATAGTCAGGTTGCTGGAATCGCAAAAATTGAGTTTTTGTTTCCAAATTTCATGCTAGTTGATCTCCGATTTTCAGATTCAAAATTTTGTGCTATTCGAGTTGTTTGGTAGTTGATACATCGCCGAAGAAAGTATCAATACCAGTCCAAATATATAATTTCATTTGATATCATTTTAACCTAACTTTCCTACTTTTTTTTCAATTATCATTAATTGCATTAGTGAAAATGATGATTTCTTAATCAATTTTCTTGTATCAAAATTGGTGTTTAAAGCTGCTTAGAGCTATACAAAATTGATAAATCATTTTTTAACGAAAACAAACAGCTTTCAAGGCGCTGAAAATCAATTGTGCATAAAACTGAATTGACCATTTAGGCCTCAAAATCACTTCGCGTTAATCATTTGTAATATGTACAAAGTCGGTTTTATTGAAACAAAATCAAACTTTTAGACAATAAAAACTTATGACCGAATCAGTGAAAATGCGTATAAACTATTTTATGGTCAATAAAATTGGTCTCAAAAAGGTGTTTTTTCTTAAATGAAGGAGTGTTGGTTTATTTACGCTTTCTTTTGATTCATTTTTGCAATAATTTTCACAGAGCGTCAAATTTGAATGAATTTTAATAATCATAAAATTTATTTAATAATGAATTTTATTAATCAATCAAAATTGACAGTAAAACTTGTTAAGATTTGATTGAAATAAATAAATTTCGTATGAATGTTTTAAATTAGTGCAAACTTTCAAGTTCGACTGAAATGCGCATTCTACCTTTTGCCCACCACAAGTCAAAACTCTCTGAGTTTCTAACTAGTCCAATTGCCATGAATTTTTGCTTGTGGTTGCATTTTCGCCATAAAGAGCACATTTTATTATAAAGAGCACGTACAGATTTTCATAAAAACAAGGATTACCCTGTAAAAAATAATGTTGATCTACAAAATTGCCCTGCATCGGGTAAATGATAGGAGAGCCTATAAAATTGGTAGAACATTTTGCCACTTTAGATTGCGTTAACTACCCCCCCCCCTCCCCTTGTAACCTTGTAAAGAAGTACTCCTACCCCCACCCCCACCTCTATAAAGAACTAATTCAACAGTTGTTTCGATGTTAATTTTTGTAACTTGTAAGGAATATCCCCCCATTTATTAAAACGATTTGCCGCTTCCAAAAATATTGAATATCGTATGACCTATGACCCTACTTAATGGCATCGATTTTAACTGTATAGTTAAATAATGGTCCGGTCGATTGTGCGGCGTCAGTTTTCACTAGACTTGATACAGATCACTCAGCTTAATTATGTAATGAAACAAGAGTTGATGGAATTGGTGAACACGGTTGAAAACTCACAACCACCGCCCACCCTGAAAAAGTCATTCTCGTGTTTGCTTCTCTACACAGATTTAACTGCAGTAATCCTGCAAACCTTTATTGTTTTTTAAAAGTGTACTTAGGCACTCGCAGGCATATAAAAGAAAAAAGTAGTTCCACTGTATATCCACTAATGGTACGAATGTAGTATTCGCAA